GTAACATTCAATGACAGTTGAAGACCTTAACCATCCAATCAACAAAACTTAGCTTGCAAAAAAGATCGATAAACAATGAGATATTTATAAGAAGCAGAGGAAAATTGTCTTCCCCTATTACATATTGAAAATGATAGATAAATTGACTTTTTTTTGCTTGTCAATCTCATAGAAGAAACTATGAAGAAATAAATGACTGAGGAATAACTAAGCATTATACAAGCTTATAGTCAAGATTCAAATGAACATACATCACATTAACACTGAAGTCTACGATGCACAAACCAAATGTACATATTACATATAATTTTTCCATGAAACATTCCCTCAGTTTCAAAAAAAAAAAAGTAAAGTACCAACATGTTTCTCTGTTTTACAAAGACAAGGTAAACTAATCACATTAATTGGTGAACTTTAGCAATACCTTCCATTTTTTCAAGCTCTTGTTTCTTTCTCTTAGCAACAGTTTTTGGTCCTTCAACAGTTGGCCCTTTCGGGTTAATTAAATGTGAGAGTAAGTCCTTCTGAGGATCAACAACTCCATGTGCTGCTTTTTTGTTTTGTTTTGGAGAACAAGCTCCACGTGCTGTTTGAGATGACAGATTTACTGCGATTTTTCAGTAGTTTTTGCCAAATTTGAGACTAAAATCAAATCCTTCAATTTATCAGCCATTTCAGATAATGCATGAGTCCCATTCTCATACTACAACCAATCAAAGCATCTAAAGAGTCATATCACCCCACTTCTTCGGGGAAAAATACAAAGGTTTATAATGCAAAAAACATAACAAAACTGTCCTTTATTTTATCATATTTTTACTTTTTTTAAAAAAAATTCGGAATATGTAGTTTTAGTAAACTACAATTTGTTAATCTTACTTGTATGATGCATACTTAATAGATTAATCAAGAACAATCAGCTTGCAAAAGAGATTGAAGAGAAAATAGGAGATCTACTAGTATAGTAAAATTGCCCCCTTCTTAATTTGACATAGTTAAACATCCTCAATTAAACAATAGGAGATTTACTAGTATGTGACATGAGGAACATCTAAACAACTTGCTTCAAACAAACACACATCACATTGATATCAAGGTCTAAAATGCACAAACTAAACATACAAATAGACTTGAACAATCCCTCAATGGCTAACAAAATAAAGTACAGTTTCTAACATGTTTCCTTTCCTTCAAAAGTCTGGCTAAACCAATCTGATTAGCTGGAAAACTTCATCTATACGTTCTAACTTTCAGCATAGAACACAAAACACACGTCACTGAGCATCTAACAATACTTAACATTTATATTAAGCATACCATGGATGCCTAGACTAATTCTCTTCTATAACATTCAATGACAGCTAAAGACATTAACCATCCAATTAGCAAAACCCAATTTGCAGAAAAGATAGATAAATAATGAGACATCTATAGCGAGCAGAGGAAAATTGCCTCCCCCTATTGCATATTGCAAATGATAGATAAATTGACCCATTTTTTGCATACCATTGTCAATCTCATAGAAGAAACTATGAAGAAATAGGTGACTTAGGAATAACTAAGCATTATACAAGCTTATAGCCAAGGTTCAAAAGATTGATAAACAATGAGATATCTATAGCGAATGGAGGGAACCATTTATATTGATCAATTGACTCGGATATTCATTCTAACTTTGGTAGGAACCATTTTATTCAATGATAAGAGCAGAAATGGTTAACTTTTGTACATGCCCACGATGACCAAGTTGAAGACTACAATTGGGGGGCAGCTTTAGCAACATCGTATCACAATATGGATGCAGTTTATGGAGGAAAAAACAAGAGCATCAGCACCTATTTATGCTCTTGGGAGGTGAGTTAGTTGGTTGCTTGATATTTAAGGCTGTATAAATCATTTATCAATTCGAATTATTCAACTTGTTGCATCGAATTGTTATTTAGGTGTGGGCTTCAAAGTACTTGAAGTCTTCGACAACTGCCGCATAACGAGGGAATCGACAAATATTGCCATGTGTAATATGTTCTCTTGGCAAAGATGGGTCGTGAGACACACTCATAGAGTACATGCTTTTACGGATACGTTGAGGTACCTCATGCACTACCAGATAATTTCCGTTCAATATGAATCTTCCATTGAATATTTATAGGAAGTTCTTGTTCATTTATTTTTTGTATCAGATCAATCAAACGTCTTGGGGACGAATGACAACCTTTTGTCGAATTACCTGAAAGACAGTATTGTCCAACCTTTTACCAACGAAGAAGTACTTACTCTCTAACAACTATTCAATATTCATTCATAAACTTATAAAGTACAAGGATTACCCAACAACTAGCAGTCAGGTAACATAGACCCTCATTAGTATGTTAATTATCATTATATATATATATATATATATCAAAACGTTGAATTTATATATGACTCAGCCATCTCGCCTAGGGGTTGTCGTTGCAGACGAGGTCATAGTGCCATAATGAACAATAATTTTCTTGGGTTGGAATCAAAGTTTAAGTTTGACATTCTCAAGATTCTGTAGGGTCTACAAATTCCCTATGAAATTCAATCATCAAATGTAGTTTATGTAATTCATTTGCTGTATTCGTAATACGAAAACAAGATGTTCTATATAAGCACGTCAGTTAAACGATAATACCCGTTTAATATCAAGCTTTTGCATGACTAATGGGTAAAAGTCGAAACAGCAGCTGAAATGTTGAAAATGATTGGGAATTGACGTCACTTCTACACGACAAGTGCGAAGAAGCCAGGACTAAAATCAAGAGGTTGAGAATGACAAACATAAGTTTGAAATACATGTCACTAACATCTTCCGTTGTCAGTCCTCTAAAGGTAATTAAACCTTGTGTTTTTTGTAGTAGGGTCGACATCATATAGAGGACAAGGATGACATGGACATTGAACGCGAAGTCTAGATGCTCAACTGTGCAAGTGGGTTATTTAGTACATTGCAAAATAACAAGGGGCTTCCATATAAAATTTGAACCTTTGTGTTATGGATTATTCGCTATAGGAAATACGTTTCAAGAGGAATAATGAATCCACATATTGTGTGCAACTGTCTCGCACCGTAAATAGAGCAATGACAAGTGAAAATGAGATTCAAAATGATGGATTCACTACCGACGAAGACGAGACTGATACATTGGAACCTTTTAAGTGTTGGATCTTCATAAGATGATGGCACAAGGACGCTAATTCAAGAAGTCAAGCGGACACAGGTGTCAATTTAGATTCTTTCAATGATCTTAGTCCACTCGGATTTCAAAAAAGGAAGCATCATTGAACTCATAAGAAACAAAATTGTAACCATTTGACATAAACTTTTTGAACTTAAACACAGATTTGAGTTGGGTATGGAGTCATAAATTTGTACTTATAAACTATTAGTTCACAATGTCAGGGAATGTCATAAAAGTGTGCCTTCGTTAGATGCAGTTAGTAATTTCTATTTATAAACTCCCATGTTGCAATGTATTTTGGCATGCAGTTCTAATAATATTTCTTTGTCAATTGACATCTTCATGAGTATAATTCCTAAAAAATTCATATACAAGCATCAACACGTATAAGAGATTGTCCAAACCAAACAATTCCATATAACCGTCCAAAACTAGTTCACACATATAAATTCCATATCAGTTAAAAACTACACATAAGCATGACCTCTCAACAACACGGCTGCAAGCTTAATCTTGAAAATTTCCACGTTTCCAACATTGCAATCCATTAACAGTAGCTCCTTGATCACAAACTTAATGAATTTCAAGGCAAACAACACGCAGTCTCCCATGAGAATATAAAATAAGAAACACAATGCATGATTACGAACTTGTTTAGAAACATATAACCTCAGTATAGGTTAAAAGTATTGACACGTTGCTTTGTTGTGGAACAACGACAACACATTCGATATTCCAGGGTTTGAAATCTAGCTCATAATAAATGTTTAATTTATCTACCATATGGGGTAACATAGTGACAACTAGCATCAGTGCTACTGTCCCCTCACTAGTAATTTCGGTACCCATGCCTACAACAATATTTCATATATACAATTAATCTTTACAATTACATTCACAAGTGTACAACTATAGTGTTAATGTTATGTATTTTTCTCTAACTCTATTTTGCTTATACATAATAAAAGACTATTTTTCTAGTTCCATTTTATTTACGTTCTTGTTCACTATCTCCACACCCACTTTGATTTAGATGAAGCCGATTTGATATATACTTTTGAGGAGGAACTACCAATTTCATTTCAAAAATAACAATTGTCATTTAATGTCTTCCAATTGTCTAGTACAGTAAATGAAATTATATGTATCTCATTGCATAACCTAGAACAACTATCGTATCCCAATCAACAAACTAACTAAATTTATGCTTCGATACATAAATACACATTACCAATTTCCCTACGAGTACTTAACAATTACACCCCAACCCCTTTGTTCTAATTTCATTTATTGGGTGGTAAATAACTAAATTTGATTTATGGGTGGTAAATGTACACACCTTACTTTAGTCTAGGTGTTATTTATTCAAATTTCCTTAAATTTTAATTGGGTTCGAGTGGGTAGGTGTGATTCATGCAAATTTCTTTAAAATTTAATACAAATTTATAAATAAACCCAATCCTAGACATGTATTTATAAAAAAACCCAAGCACTATTTAAACATAGAAACACACCTAAAATCAACCCCAAAGTCAACTTTTTGGGTGTGTTTATAAATGGGTTTTGAGTGTGTATAATGATGGGTTTTGGGTGTGTTTATAAAGTGTTTTGGGTGTTGGGTTTTTTTATAATTTCAACTTCTATTTTGGGTGTTTTAGTGAAACTCCCAAAAATTTAATTGGGTTCGAGTGGGATTATGGAGTCCAAAATAGACCAATGGGCTTCATTCTTGGACATTGGCCCATTCCTTCACCATCCCCCTCTCAGTCTCTCGCTCTCTCTTCCCCCTGGCAACAACACACTGACTCTCAGGTCTCTCTCCCTGCACGGAAATTCTTCTCTAATCGCCTCGCCAGTCTCAGAAACAAACAAACAACCAAACAAACAAACAAACAAACAGAGAAAATGAGCGAATTCCTGGACCTTGAATCCCAAGACGGCGTTCGAATGCCATGGAATGTGATTCCAGGCACAAAGCAAGAGTCCACAAACAGCGTAGTCCCAGTCTCTGCCATCTACACTCCGATCAAGCCCTTCCCGGCCATGCCCGTCCTCCCCTACGCCCCGCTCCGCTGTCGCACCTGCCGCTCCGTCCTCAACCCATTCTCCACCGTCGATTACGCCGCCAAGATCTGGATCTGCCCCTTCTGCTTCACCCGCAACCACTTCCCTCCCCACTACGCCTCCATATCCGACGAAAACCTCCCCGCGGAGCTCTTCCCCCAGTACACCACCATCGAATACGACTCGTCGCTCGAGAAACCCACCACGCCTCCGGTCTTCATTTTCGTCGTCGACACGTGTATGATCGAGGAGGAGCTGTCGTTTCTCAAGTCCGCTCTTTCCCAAGCTCTGGGTCTTCTTCCGGATCACTCTCTTGTGGGTCTCATCACTTTTGGGACCTTCGTACATGTCCACGAATTGGGTTTCTCCAGTGTTCCCAAGACTTACATCTTCAAAGGATCGAAGGAAGTCAACAAGGACCAGCTGCTTGAACAGATGAGTTTTTTTCTCAAGAAGCCCAAGCCGACTACTGGGGTAATTGCTGGACCTCGGGACGGGCTGAGCACCGAGAGCATTGCCCGGTTTTTATTGCCGGCGTCGGATTGTGAGTTTGCGCTTAATTCGGTGTTGGAGGAGTTGCAGAAGGACCCTTGGCCTGTACCGGCTGATCAGCGGGCTGCCCGGTGCACCAGCACTGCGCTTGGCGTGGCTGCCAGCTTGTTGGGAGCTTGCGTGCCGGGTTCTGGGGCCCGGATTATGGCGTTTATTGGTGGGCCCTCCACGGAAGGCCAGGGTGCTGTAAGGATTCTTACTCATTTTTTTGTTGGCTTTGAAACTTGAGATATAGTCTCGTTATGCTTTTTGCTACAAAGATCATTGTTAGTAAGCATTAATGGATTTATCAAAACTTATTAGGCAGAGAATTTGGTGTGTTATACATGGTTGACGGTTGGTTGGAAGCTTGTGGTCCATTTCCTATGGCTTGCATCCTAAGGAACTTCTTTAGGGAGCTTTCCTGCTAATTGGGATCACAAGAAGTCATGAGTAGGGAATCTTTTTTTGCTTACATTTGCAAAAAAGTGATTAGAGGAAGGAAAAAAAAAACAGCAAATGCAGTAATTGAACATTGGCAGTTTGTGATGCCTTTTCGGTAATACATGTTTTCTAACATTCTTGCTTATGTAAATGGTGGTTTTGCTCAACATACATTAAAAATGCTTAGTAATGGAACATACAGTTTGTGAGGCCTTTTTGGTAATACGTGTTTGCTATCACATTTTGGCTTATGCAAATGGTTTTCCTCAAAATATGAGGTGGGGCAAAGGGTTTACATATAACCCTCTTAGTGAATTTTCCGTGCTTGATTACAAGTGGAACTACCTTGACCTACATTTCCCAATTGCTTACCTCTCGCCTTCCTTCCATGGATATGGTCTAACAGTACCATGTGATAGTTGGACCTTTGTCTAGTATGCCGCCACCATGACTGTTGAGAATGTCATCATCTTTAGGATGCCGCATCTATATGCCTTGTTTTAGGAGTTTCTTGATTAAATTTATTTTTTCTTCAAAATTTAAATTAACAGGTTGAGATGGTGGTAATAGCATTGTGACAATTATACTTACCTCTTTATTGGTTGTGGTCTCAATATTTTTGTTGGAGTTATTTCGTGGAACAATTTAGTAGTTATCTATATTATACTGAGTTTTCATTGTGTATCTTTTGTAGATTGTGTCGAAAAACCTATCTGAACCGATTCGTTCTCACAAGGACCTGGATAAAGATTCTGCCCCACATTTTCATAAAGCCGTGAAGTTCTACGAGGGACTTTCAAAGCAGCTTGTACATCAAGGACACGTTCTTGATCTTTTTGCTTGTGCCCTTGACCAGGTTATTTTAAAGTTTTTGCTTTTGCCTGTTATATATCTTTTTGAAATACAGTAATTTATAACTGACCTTTTTAATGTACATAGGATGTCTAGTTATGTCCTTTTAAAAAAAATATCTCTTTTAGGGAAGGGGATGGATAATATGTTCTTGTTCATTGATATGGAGGGGAAGGATGTTATGCAATGAAGACTAGTCCTAAGTTAAATAATTTATTGAGCTTCTTGAGCTTGTCGGCTTGGGTTCTACAGATTAAATTCAGGGGTCTTATTTGTTGGTGTTTTATGTTGGTCTAAAAGTATTTCATGTTTCTTTTGCATGCTGTTTTCTCTTTCAGGTGGGGATTGCAGAAATTAAAATTGCAGTTGAAAGAACTGGAGGACTAGTTGTGCTTGCCGAAAGTTTTGGCCATTCGGTGTTTAAGGACTCACTTAAACGGGTTTTCCAGTTGGGTGATTATGAGCTTGGTTTGTCATCAAAGTACGTTTCTTGGCTAATCCCAAAATGGAAAATTGCACTCGTTCATTTTCAAATTTCACTATGAATTTTTTCTAGTAGTTTTAGATAATTATGTAACGGTTTTTTGTCAATGTTTGTGTTTGTATTATACTTTGGCTTTCTTACTACATATACTTGATGTTGGTTATTTGTGAAAATTGAAAATGAACTCTTCTTGCTTGTAACCCTCTTTTTATAAGTTAGTCTGTTTTATTCACAAAAAATGAGGGATAAAAGAAGAAAACAAGGGCTTTAGTTCAAACGAGGTCAGAAGAACAAGTCTTATATGATTAGAGTAAAGGCTGTTCCTGACTTGGAAGAATAGCTCACTGTGATACAAAAAGGCAGGGTGTGCATATTACAACTCTTCTAAACTCCAATTGGGCCCTAAATATTCCCAAAATGCTGTTTGCTGTTTCTAAAAAAAATTCTATACAATAAATTTATTTATTTTTTCATTGAAGTTTTGTGAGGGTTTTTTTGTACCTTTGTTTTCTTAGAATGTATATTTGAGATATGTATATGCTTTACACCATAATGTCTTTTTTCTCCTTACATTATCTTGCATAGTTGCCTTAAATTGGCTATTTGTTTTTGTATTAATAACTTGCATTGCTTATATACCACTAGATACTGGTGGTACAGATGCTATTTTATTAGATACTTTCTGGTCTCGTGATGACTTTCTGGTTGAACATAGTTTCAGATCAATGAATTTAGGAATGTAAGAATTGATTTTTCATTTTAGTTTTTTTTTTCCTATTATTTATGGCAAAGTTTAATGCTTTTATGGCTCTGAAAAGAAAATATAGTTGAAGTTATAGCAAAATGCTTGATATCACGACATCAACTCCAGTAAGTTTTCATATAATGCTCCTTAGAAGAGCAGTCTTATTGATGCAGGACGCATAAGACCTAGATTTATTAGTTTCCTAATGTATTTGTTAGTTTCCTAGATTCTCTAGTTTTCCCAATTCTAGTAGGATTTCTACTTCTCCAGATTTCTAGTTTTAAGTTTCCTATTTTATTTGGGTTAGGATTTCTGTTTAAGCAAGGGTTTTTTATCCTGTTATGTCTAGGTTTTAGTTTGCTATAAATACCCCCATGTAGTTCTTTAAATTCAGATTTGAATGTTGAGTAAACCTTTTCCTAGAACTCTCTGATTTCGTCCCTTCGATCTATATTTCTTCTCCTCGATCTCCGATATTCTTCTTTGTTCTACTACTTCTGTCCTTTATCTCGTCTTTTCGATCTCTATTTCTTCTCCTCGGTCTCGTATATTCTTCTTTGTTCTATTGTTAAGTGCTTAATCTAACACCTACGGGCTGTACTACATCACTTATACTGTGCCAGATTGCCAGTGGACGTAACAATGAATTTAATTTTTCTCGTTTCTGTGTATGTTACAACGTAGATGTTTAAACTTGTGACAAATCTTACTTGAATTCTGGTTTTTGATCTTGTTTGCAGCGGTATATTTGAGATAAACTGCTCAAAAGATGTCAAAGTTCAGGGCATTATTGGTCCTTGTGCATCTCTTGAAAAGGTATAATCAACAGCATTTCAATGATCTTTTTTGAGCTGGTTGTGTTTTTTAACCTTTACACTGGTTGCCTTGTGCAGAAAGGTCCTTTGTCCTCCGACACAGTTGTAGGTCAGGGGAGTACAAGTGCATGGAAGATGTGTGGCCTTGACAAAGCAACATCTTTATGTCTAATATTTGAAATTGTTAAGAAGGAAATCCCAGATGCCACTGTTCAGCCCACTAGCAATCAGTTTTACTTCCAATTTCTAACTTAGTATGAACTCCATGCTCTCAGATTCTAAGTAATTCTTTTTGTGTTGTGCGTAGGATTGAAAAAAAATGTCTTTACTGATTACAGATATTTTTCTTCAGTTATCAGCATAGTAGTGGTCAAATGAGACTTCGTGTTACGACCCTTTCGAGGAGATGGGTTGCTGGACCTGGAAGCCTACAGGCAAGTTTTTCTGTTCAGCCTGTCCTCAATATATGATGCAGTATTTATTTTTCTTGCAAAGGGACTATTAATTTAGCACATCTATCTCTAATATTGTATCTGATTTAATGAAGATATTTTTGATAGCGGATATTGACTTCCTGCTATATATACATATGTATCTCAGCTTTCCACAAACCCATCCTGTATCTCATAGACATATGTGTTACCTGCTTTTGATTACATAGCATCATGGCAAACTTTGCTTTCTCAGAACCTCCACAACCACTTACTAAGTATTTTCTATTTGAAGTTTCATGTCCATATTTCTTTTCCTTATGGGGTTGGGCTAGTATCCATTCTTTTTATTAAAAAAATTGTAATCTGAAACTACCATATACTTTAGGACTTGATTGCTGGATTTGACCAAGAAGCAGCTGCTGTTGTCATGGCACGCCTAGTTTCTTTCAAAATGGAAACTGAGGTAATCTTTAACACTACACGCTTTTATTTTATAAACTTAATCTCAGGTCTTGAAACCTAAATTTTTAGATTGTGCTGATGACTTATGGCAATATAAAGTTTCCATGTGAAGTTGATATGGCCAATTGCTCTATATCTACTATTCACTGAGTGATCATCATTCTCTTATAAAGGATGCTGTATACAGGAACTTAAAAGAACAAATATATCATATGCTAATTTTATTTTTTAAGTGATCTTTTCCATTTGAGCTTTTGAGATTGTTGTGCTCCAAAATCTAATGCGACAAGGTGACTGGCAAAGGAAATGAGCAGAGACAAGTGTCACTACTAGATTTGCATTTACATATTTGATGTGGTGAAATTGCAAAAAAAATCTTATCCTTTTAGTCAATATATTTGAATTGCTGTCATGAGAAGTGATTTTCGTCATTCTAGATTTTTGTATCATATTTGTATTTTTTAAGATATGACTTAAATATGCACAAATCTTGTGCCATTTCATGAAATATTGCCATTGGTGGGTATCCAGGCAGAGTTTGACCCTATAAGATGGCTGGATAAATCATTGATACGTATGTGTGCTCGGTTTGGAGATTACCAAAAGGACAGTCCATCTTCTTTCAGCTTGTCTCCACGGTTTTCAATCTTCCCTCAATTTATGTTTCATTTACGACGTTCTCAGTTTGTCCAGGTATATAGGTCTATATTTATTTCATGTTTCTTCTAAATTTCTTCACTTTGTTATGCTATTGTATAGTTCTTGTGAATAAAGTCAGTTGAAATTGTGTTACAGGTTTTTAACAACAGCCCAGATGAAACCGCATACTTCAGAATGATCCTAAACCGAGAAAATGTTGCCAATTCAGTTGTGATGATTCAGCCTTCATTGATTTCATATTCATTTCATTCAGGCCCGGAACCAGCACTTCTTGATGTTGCTGCCATTGCGGCAGACAGGATTCTGCTCTTAGACGCCTACTTTACTGTTGTAATTTTTCATGGTTCAACTATTGCTCAATGGCGAAAAGCAGGGTATCAGGATCTGCCTGAACATCAGGTAATCTTTTGTAGTCATCGACTTGAAGTAAATTTGATCTAAACAGCATGGGCTTGGATCTATGTTTCAAGTCTAAAACAAGCAAATCCTTTATCATTGCATGATATAAAGAGGGCTGCATCCAGACGTCCAGCTAGTCAAAGATGTAGATGCCTTGGTTCTCTTTGCAAAATTCCTGACCCAGTTTAATTTTGTATAGACATGTACTTGATTATAACATAGTTTAGCATTACAATTGGTTACTGAAGCTACTCCCTTGGGTTAGAGATGACCCTGCTTTCAGATAGTTGATTGTCTGTATACACACGTGTTAGCACTTTAACCTCTTGATTATTTTAAGATATATGCAGTCTTGTAATAAATGTTTAACTTTCTTTGAAATATTACCACTTAATTGTGTAGAACTATATTTGTTGCATATTTTATGGGGGGTAAAAGAAATAAAACTCCATGATCAACTATCAAAATTTGTGACATATCTTAGAAAATGCGGTATTGCCTAGTCTCATAAGTAACTCATATTTGGCTTGATGGTGTATCTGTTGTCCTTGCACCCATATACCTTAAATAATTTTTAGTTTTAGTTGGGTGACCGTTTCCCATTTTAAATGCCTCCATGAATAGGGTCTATATGTTCAAGGGTAATATATTTTGTTGCTCTTATCCCATACAATGGTGGTTTGCAAGTCTGTCAGATTCAGTTCTGTTTTGTTCTGTTTATTTTTACTTCAAACAAATAAATATTTTTACTTCAAAAATATTACAAGTCCACTAAAACAAATCTGTGGTTGCAGGCATTTGCTCAATTGCTACAAGCTCCTCGTGATGATGGAGATCAAATTATCAAGGAAAGATTTCCAGTACCTCGCCTGGTGATTTGTGATCAGCATGGTTCTCAGGTAATTCTGATGTTGTCTTGTAGTATCTATCTATTGGATGTTAAACCTAAAAACCTGTATTTCTGGTACAGACGCTGACCTTTCTTTTATTCCTCTCCCCTCAATTACGTCCCTGATGGTTTGGTTGGGCCCTCAAATAGTAATGGAAGTTAGTTGTGGCATTACAATTAGTCTCTAACATATTAGTGGGCCCTTCATTGTCATCTTGTCATTTTTCTTATGAGCTGCTTATTTATCTTTGATGATTTATATAACGATAAGAATTCAATTTCTGGCACTGATACTGTTGATACGCTACTCTAGGGTATTCTTGGTTTGAATCTATTGTCAATTTTGCTTGTTACGGCACAAGTCTTAGGAAAATAATTGCAAACTTGTGTTTCACTTGATACACTACTCTAGGGTATTTGTTATGAGGTGTGTAGAGTTTATCGTCACTAATCCCGTTCCTTTATGCAGGCCCGTTTTCTTTTGGCAAAGTTGAATCCTTCTGCGACTTATAACAATGAAGCTCCACTTCCAGGAGGGGATGTTATCTTTACAGATGATGTTGGTTTTGAAGTCTTCTTGGATCATCTCCAGAGATTAGCAGTTCAATAATGTACAAGAGGGTATCCTGCAGTTTTGTATAATTTGTTTTTCAATTTCTTGTACAGTAATGCATACGATTCAATTCAAATTTTGATATGGTTTGGGCTCTATATATAGTATACAAAAGCTTATCATGCTTCTATATTGACAATAAATATATTGATTGATCAAATTAGAATAGTTAGCTAACCATTGGTTGGAATACCTAGCTCTTTAACAATTATCAATAGGCTCGCTGCCCATGCCACAAAATTGACTGTATTCTTTATGATTTCAATCAGTAACATTGTCCAGCTTTTGATCAGGTACTGCACTTAGATGATTTACATTGGACTGCCTCCCAAAATTGAGGTATGCAAATTAATACTAGTTCATCTCAAACATGTATATTTTCAGAGGCCAATTTTTCTGCTCACCTCTTAGTCTGCATTAATCTCAGAGGATTTGAATTTTCGGGATTTCCTCAAGAGTTGCTTAGCCATTGTAGGTTTTTGTTTGTAATTTTGTACTTTACAAAGCAAAGGCCCTTTTGTTAAAGGATTAAACCTTTTTTTTTTAGGAAAAAAAAAAAAAAAAAAAAGAGAACGCAGAATGCCCAAGAAAATTGCCGAGTCGCTTTGTGAGCATATAACTGGTAATATACATTGCTTAAAACAAAACCATGTCTTATCAATTTACATCATACAGGAAATAGCACTGTTTTTAGTCTCATCAAAATGTTCATGACAAACATTTTCGTCGCATCACCTTATTCATTGTAACACTACTCGATAAGTAGTTTGAAGCCTTGTACTATGATCATATTTGTAATAAGAAAAAGGCTCCCAAGAGGAAATCTTAGGATGCATGATTCCTTCTGGGAGTTAGTTTGGCCGACCAATAAGAAGTCTCCTTATGTCGGACCGTCATGGGGCAAAGATTTCGTATGTGTGCAACCCTTATAGCAGCTCATGAATTTAGCTATAAACTCTGGGAGAGAGAAAAAAAACTTATGTTAGGTATAAGAATTAACTGTGATACAGCTACATTTTTTTGTTGACAGACCGATTCTAGACCGTGTATTCAGACATCGACGTGATCGATAGTCTAAATACAGAACAATCTAGCATCTTACTTGGGCAGAGAGCGTTTCCCACATGCATAATGCATTTATATATCAAACACAAACCAAACCAGTTCGAAACAAGTTGTTTTACCTTCAATCCTCAAGAACTGCTTAATAGACTTTCTGGAATGATCGTTAAGCCTTTTACTCATTTCCTCATGATCATGTTTGTCACTCTCAAACATATTTTCGTCATTCCTCTGCATGATACAAGAGAATAACACATTAATAACTCATTATTCAAAACTTATTATAAAAAAAAACTTGGCCTACAAGGTTTGTATTCATACGTTGTATTCATCGTACATGCTCTCAATTCGATCCTGCAAACTATCATCCAAATACTTCTTCAGCTCTGCTACCAGGGACTGCATAAATGAGCGGTCAGCGCAGTATGTTTTACTAACTGGTATATATATATTGTACCTGTTACTTCAGTTAGAAGCATGCCACCAATAAGAAGAGAAACAAAATGCTTACTTGGAAAATGAATTCGGGGCAAACGCCATGCACTATAAGATTTTGAAGCTTTCCACGGATTATATATAGCCTGCCAAATGATATGGAACAATTTCAATTTTTCCTTTGTAGGTGACAATTGAATCCCAACTTGCAAATGTTAATCTATAAAGAAATTAGGCTAAGCTCCATTCACAGCGAAGAATCTCTGTACCTCCGTCTCACAACATGCACGCAAGATTCAATACATATTGTGACACTGAGGTTATATATAACCGGCTCATACAATAATTTCTACCTCAGACAATTAGCTTCTAACCTACGATAACCTAGTATAGTACCGGCCCTCACTACATACTGAATTTATATAACAAATAAAATAGGCATTCAACTAGTCGAAAGAGCATACTGTTTTGGGCTTTGCTCTTCGATCATATTCTTGGCAATATCTGCAATATTATCTTCCCAACCTGTCAAAATGACTTGATTTTCTTTGAAAGGATAGCTGCATGTACACCATTGCAGATCACACCACCAAGCATGCGTAGATTAGCACAAGGAATGGTAGTATACTTAACCGGAAATTAGAAAAACAGATAAAACTAAACAAATCAAAAACAAAAACAACTTTTGTTTTCTTAATTACCATTTCTTCCAAGTAGCCTCGAATGAACGAATGGCTAGACAGAAATTGTTCTTAGAATTTTCAGCAAACCTTTCAGCCAATTCATGTGGCAAATCTATGCCTTCTTGCTTAGCTATGAACTTTAAAACTGCAACAGTCTGAAAATGCAGACAAGAAGCTTATAATCAAACTCTTTTTCAAAGAAGCCGAAAAAAACAAATATGTTAGTTCCTCACCTCAGTCTTTGAAGGTGGTAAAAGCTCAACGACAGTGCAAAGTGATTTGATTGCCTGAAGCTTTGAGACATCAGAGCAGCAGAAGAAGACCTTATTACACCCTTTATACCTTTCTAATAGCCACTTTATATAAAGTAGGGCATCTGTAGATAGCTTGTCTGCCTCATATAAGATTATTGCTGCAGAAAGATAAATAATAGGCAATCAAGGATTCATTAATTTCATGTACTAAGCCTTAATTTCAGAACTAGATCAACTTTCTGTGTGTGTGTGTGTGTGTGTGTTTTTTTTCCTTTATACAGGTTATCCAAATATATATATGTATATACCTCGACAGTTGTCGAGGCCGCAGGGCAAAGCTTTGTTGGTCGTCTTGTCCTGTGTTTCCCTCATGAGTTCAACAATCACATGCTTCTCATAGCCCTTCAGTTCAGAAAGATTCACTTCTACATGTTGAGGGGATTGCTTTACATGTACTTCTATACTACCAACCATTTCACCCTATGAAATCAAAGTAAAACAGAGTAAAAGGTCAACGTGTGTTATATGATTATATCATGCAGCAAATAGATTTCATAAGATATTAAGATCATAATTGTGGTGTAAATTTTGTAATAGGGTTGAATAGACATTAAGTAGGAAGCTTGATTAAGTGTGTACTATGATTAATTGTTCAATGTTCTGAAATCAATTAATACAATAAAGCAACTTGAAACTAAACTACCTTCAAGTTAAATGCCTTGAATTCCTCCCTGGCCTGAGAATTTCAAAGAACATGGAAAAATATAATAACATTAATACAAATTTTAAATAAATTAAGAGGAATATAGTGAATCTTATCATGATACTTACATGTATTGTGTCGCGTCCAAACGCCTCGCGAAGCATAGCCCAGATCATCGTTCTCTTCCCCACGCCTGGTGGTCCTTCAAAGATGAAATGCCCACATGCTCCTCCTCTGGCCTGTATTTTTATTTTGAATGCATAAATTAGTATATCATACACAGAAAAAAGAATCAGAGTACTTGATGTGTGCTGTTTATGCATACCAAAGCCTGCAGCTGAGTTGCTTTGTCTTTATTGCATATGAAATCTTCTAAGCACAGAGGTTGGTATTTGTCTGCCCACGCATACTCCTTCTGAGCTTCATTCATCACCTTTATTTCGTTTTTTGGTCTAGCTGCTGCTCTAACTCTCTCCCTCAATGGCTTCTCCTTGTTATATTCTTTGCTACTCTTCATGACCTCCTCCCTCTCTATGCTCTCCTCCACCAAAGACGTCTCTGAATTCTTCGGTGAAGCATTAACTGTTGAACGCGTGGAGGGTTTGATCGCGGTGTACATTTCAGGCTGAAAATTCTTTTTGTACTCCTTGGTTCTAGAACCAAGGCAAGAGCTCCACTCTCGCACTTTGAATCCCGAAAAGAAGGTGGAGATTGAGGTCCAAGTAATAGCAGAGTTGTTGCTTTCGTGCCCGGGAGTATTAGCAATTGGATGCTTAGGGACAATGATGCTCGGATACGTCAGTCCCCTGATGTAATAGGGACTATACTTGGAGCTTCTTTCATCATCAATCCCATCCTTGTAATAGTCGTTCAGACTAATTTGCCCTACCCTCTTGTGATGGTTGACCACATTTTCCCCAACAAGTGTCTTATTGTGAACCTCGAGGCTTTGCTCTGTCAAATCTGAATTCCCCCTCCTCCCAATAAGTCTTCTTATTTTCCTGCCCCAAGAGAGCTTGACACTCGCGATTTTCGACGTGGGAACTGAGCATGCAGACAGGTTTGCAGGAGGGAGGTCTTCCGGGAGAGTGTACTGAGAAGGCCAGGTTTTGATGAGG